TTTGTTCGCTTACCTTGGTCGAAGGTGCGGTAGCTGTCGCCTCTTGCTCTGCTTTGCGATGAGCGTTGCGTCACCAGCAGTTTGAACTCAGCGGACACCTAGCGGCGCATCATGCCCTCCTCCGTGAGCCAGCACAGGAAAGAGTGGATTTCTCCACTGCTCGTCACATACATGACACTTTGAGCATTCACTCAAACACGTGGCGACATGTTAATAATTTGATTCTCATAAGACGACCGAGAAACAGCTCAACGGCATTACTGCACTGTACTGTAAGCTAGCAACATTATTTGACAGCAGTAACAAAGCTCTTTATAGAAAATAACAATTTTAAAGGAATATAAAAATAATAATACACATTTAAAGGAAATCAAGAAAGCTTTAAACTCAGCAAACAATAAAGTTACAGCCATAAAATAATAGGCTATTCTCTGCATAAAGAGAAATGAGTGGCCTCAAGTTTCGCAATAATATTTATTTTTGCTCTGTCCGGTATTTAAAGACTCCCTGTGGCCTCTTTTGGATCCTCAAAGTCCAATTTCAGGATAATGTATTGCTGGTAATGCTGGGAAAAGTTTCACACAAGTGTAAATGGATAATTAAAGATTCATAGTTAACTGTATAATTAACCATGAAAAAGTTTGGCTGCAAAGTTTTATTAGAAATCAACCAAGAGTTATTTTTAGGTTTAGTATCACTCACAGCACATGTATGTAGGGTAGACCTCTTGTTACAATATCTACGCATGAATTGCTAATAATTGATAAGTCTTTCAATAATCATTTCTTCATTAAATCAGAGCTTAAGGTGCTGCCTCCAAATGGGAAATGTTTTCATTTTTGCATTTAATTGGAACTAAAAGCCATTACCGTCAACAACAGTCTGATACATTGTATTGTAAGTTTCTGAGAGTTAATAGCTTGAGTGATAGGCGGCTCACAGGACAACTCCAATTCTTTATTTGTACTATCCTTTCATTTCAGAGTGCAATGAGACATCAAACTTCATAATTTTCAATAAAAGAAAAACTGGAAAAATTGGGGTGTTGTTTAAATTTTGACCATAAAAAAATTATTAAATTATTTATGTATGTTTTTCAGATAGAGATGTCAATAAGTTTAAAAATGAACACCACCCAATGCCCCCATGAATTTGAAGCAGTGCTAAATATTATGAAATATTTTACATACAAGCAGTGAAAGGAATGAATTTACAGTACTATATAGCTATTGTTAAAGCCAAAAAACCCAACTGTGGACAGATTCCAAATTCCATGGCTGTATTTTTTGTATTTCTAACTGATGTGTCATTGATATCATTTTAAAGGAAAGAGGTTCCCTACATCTTTTTTGCAAGATTGAGAATAAAAATGAAACACGTCAATATTAAACTGAACTACTCTCCATTTTAAAATCTTGATGCTCAATCATCCAGGTAAGGAACGTCTTATGTTCTCTATTTAAAGGTTGCTAGTCTTGATCCAGTAACTCTATACAGTAACTCACTCAAAGTCACACAAGTCAGTTCTGACCCTGGATTTCCAGGAGTACAATCTCTGTGAGATCAGTTTTGGCAGACAACACATCTAAGCCATTCTTCCTTCTGCTGGCTGTTTGTTTATGGTTTAACACAAACTATTGTGCCAAGACATAAAGAAACAAAAACCCACTGCCTTTCCCCATGCCCTCTTGATAAACATTTGAACCTAGCTAACATATGGCTTTAGCTTTTAATAACTGCCCTTAAAAAAAGAGACTAATATTGTGTTATCTTTTAATATAACAACAACAAGGTGAAAAAAGACCCTGACCCATAAAAAGTACAAAGTACTTCCTCTCCTCAAACTTTTGTGTTTTCCACAAACTGACCACTCGAAAACACAGACAGACTGTCAGGTCAACAGTGTCCTCTAATGTGGCATCCAACCCAACTACCCCACAGTGTCGGTGTCCTGCATAGGCCAGTTTAGACCCTTCTTTGGGTGCTGAAGTGCCCCCAAATTGTATCACAGCACACCTAAAAATAACTATCAGTAGTAACAGTAATGTATAGTATTAATTGCTGGCTTTGTGTTCACCTACAGGATAGAAAGAAAACAGGTTTAACGATCCCGTGTTGTTGGTGTCATAGTGTTACAGTGCGCTCACACAGAGGTGTTTTGGTTGCATTTGTTATCTCTTTAGTTTAAGATTCATTTTTCTTCCCCTACTCTTGTTTCTACCAGACAGACTGTTAGGGCAAATATGTGATATCACAGAATTACACAGTACTCTCTAATGTGGCAGTAACAAGCAATGTGACGACTGACCCAGGTCAATCATCCTCCAAGCTCTAGTGTCTGCTTATTTCCTCTCCTCTAATACAGAACTGCTCAAACCTGGGACTGGTGCTTGTCTTCTTTTTTATCTTTCTCTCTTACCAGTGAAAACCTCTGACAGGGACATGCATCACAATACACACAAGTATATTCTTATAATGTTTCTTCACATTGCTCTGCAGCATACATTTATTATACCAGCAGAGGTCGCTGTACACCCTCCTCATGTACTGTGTGCTGCATTGATTGAAATGTAAATAATCCATATTTGATTTTTAATTGTTTATTGTGATGTCATGATATTTGCTGTAAATCTGTTCCAAATGTTTTTTTCTTCTTTTTCAGCAAACAAAAAAACTTTGAGGAATTGATTTTAACATTTTAGAACCTTTCATGTCATGAACCTTTCAAGTTCTTCATGTCTTGGTTTCAAAAATATACTAGAACTGCTTTTCCTGTACAGACCTGCAAATCCTGGACCTGCTTAGGGACAAATGAGCTTGAAAGACATTTCATTCTTAATCTATAGCAGGGGTGGGCAACTCTAGGCCTCGAGGGCCAGTGTCCTGCAGGTTTTAGATCTCACCCTGTGTCAACACACCTGAATCAAAGGATTAGTTCATTACCAGGCCTCTGGAGAACTTCAGGACATGTTGGCTGTGTCCCAATTAAGAGACTGCACGCTTGAAGTACGCATTTTAAGTGCGGTTACGTCACCGCCACGCGACGACGGCTGTCCCAATTCGAAGTGTGCTTCAAATGCATGCTCCAAATGCGCCGTCGATTTCCCCAAATATCAAGCGTGGTCCGGTGCACGCTTCGTGGTCCCATATATCCCACAATTCATAACGCGGCGGTGGGTGTGGATAATTTTGCCGCAAAATACGGCAGACGGGAGCGGCTGAAGAGGTTGGTTTGGAAGCATGAGGCAAATCAGTGGAGCTGATTCAAAACACGTTACCTAAAACGTTAGCAACCACAATACTGATACTACAGTTAACATGACTTACAAACTGCCTGCTCGTGTGCGTTTGCCCACTAAATTAGTGATGTGTCGGTCGCGAACGAAACGGCTTAGAGCCGGGTCTTTGATGTGAACGACGCGACCCAGCTCCTTATCGCAAGCCGAGGGTTTTTGTTTTTTTCTTTCTCTCACCCGCTCTCTCACACATTTTTCTGCTTTACTCCTCATACCAGCCTTGTGCTTTGCGCTGGGAAGAGGGGGGAGGGGCGGGAGTTACACTCTCAGTAGCACAGGAACATACAGAGCAGGAGGGAGAGACAGGTATAGTAATCATCCACAACTATTTTCAGTTGCAGCTGATAAAGGGTTTAGAAAGTTTATTCATGCAGGCCCATATGACAGAGAATGTGCATCTTCTTTTTGTTTTATATTTTAATTTACTTAATTGTGTTGTGGTTTGCTGTGTTTTGTGTTGTTTCATTTTAAATTTGTTTAAAAGGAAAAAGCTGAAAATTTAAATAGTTAAAAGTTAAAATGTGAATATTTTGTTTTTGTATTATATGATTTATTTATTACATTTTATGTGGAGTGAATAAATAAAAGTATATTTACGGTGGCCCCTAGAGACAAAGCACGTACAAACTCCAAAACACGTAAAAACACCAAAACACGTACAAAGGACAACAGAAGTGCTCAAGGATGCTAGGGGCAGTGTTGAGCTTTTGTTACCTAGTGTGGTAGTAACAGGTAAATGAACTTTTTTTTTTTTTAATTATTTGAATATATATGAGTGCTTGTGTATAAATACACAAACAATACACATATGCTTTCAATTGTGTAATTTAAGTGATCTAGGTAGCTCTGTTTTGGAAGTTCAGTTAACGCTAGAAATGTGTTTTGGAGTTTGTTTGGAGCCGAAAGAGTTGTCTTTTTAGTGAGCCGAGCCGAAAGAGCCGGTTCTCTAAAAAGAGCCGGAAAGCCCATCACTACACTAAATAGAGTTAAAATGATTCCTAACACCGGCTGGATCACTAGCTATCATTAGCTAATTTTAGCTTTCAGAACTGCTAGTGTGGTACAGCCCGAGTTCCAGCACTAGCCAAGGAGCTGATGTACCTTATTGTACACTGTTTCATATTGTGGTTCAGTGTTTGTGTACACTGCAGTACAACTCCAAATCCAGGTGAGAGCAAGTCAAATAAATGTTGCCTGTTAATGTCCAGCAGCCCATATTCAGTTATAATCTGTTCTAAACTTTACTGTCAATGATGTTTCACCTTTTACAAAGACAGAGAGCGAGCAGGGAGGAGAGCGGTAAGAGGTGAGAGTTGGCACATAGTCAAAGTGAACACTGCAGTTATAATGCTAAGCTAGGTTTAGCATTATAACTGCAGTGTTTGTGTGTTTGTGGCAGTGCAAAGATGAAACAAGGACGAAGGAGAGACAGGAGACACACTGAGGTGGAAAAATAAATGTTGAACAACAAATGTAAAAAAAATAAAAATTAAAAAAAAATCACAAAATAATTTGAACATGCATTTCATGGATGCTTCACTGCACAGTTAAAAATGTCAGTGAACAATCTACATAGAAGCATCCATGGATATGATCAGTAGCCATTAACAGGATTCACTGCACTCCAAACACAGCTGGAATACAATGGAAAAACGGTGTACCCACTGCCCCGCGTTAGTCTGCACAATAAAGTGAGAGTCTGTGTGAATCTGAAAACTTTAATTTAATAAATGTAATGAATGTAATATCTTAACAAGGAATGGAAGCAATTTCTCCAAGCTGACAAAAATCAAAGATCCACTTCACAGTGACATTGTGTGTTTTGTGAAGAGGCCATTACTAAACAGATGTAAAATCACAAAGCAGCTAATTATTAATCATTTGATAATTTATTCTGTACAACACTGGCTGATGGTTTCTGACTGTCCCTGTAAAAATGAAATAAAGGTTGGGTCAAATGGATCTGACTACAAACAGGTAGAGCAGTCCCCGCCAACAGCACATCCCTAAAAACAGACATATATATACACTATGCATAAAGACATATGTACTCTTTTTCCTGTGCATGCGTTGGGAGTACATGTCTACTTTGAACATTATGCAGAGACAGCCACAGTGTTGGATACAAACTGCTGCTCCACCCAAATATACATCTTCTATCAGTAGCCTTAAAAACAAACTGCAGGTTCATGAACTTAAAAAGCTCGTCTTTATTTGAAATGAGTTCCTGATTATCAGAAAGGCTAAAAACCACCACAGAGAATTTAAGTCCTGCATTCTGCCAGTGTTTCACATTGTGAGGAGCAGTCACACAGACATACAGTAATTCACACATGAGAACATAATTAATATACTCCAAACTACACAACACAGAAAACACAGTGCAATATTCACATCTATATACCCCTTTATACAGCCATATTTCTATGCAGACAGCTAGTGTTTCTTTGTCTTCTCCTTTTTCTTCTTCTCTTGATATTCAAGGATCTTTTTGTGAAATATTCCTGCAGGACAAAGGAAATGCAAATCAGGTTGGACTTTTGCTGCAGCACAATTACCAAAGAAGTCAAGTGCATGACTTAACATAAGTCACAAATGTGAGGACTTGCTTGACTAATCTTAAATAATGACTTGACTTTGTATTCATAGCACAATATTTCTCTGTTTTATTATTGGAAAGCACTTTGGTCAACTTTGTTGTTTTTAAAAGTGCTATATAAATAAAGTTGGATTGGATTGGAATATTTGGGCATCAGACAGACTTTAACTTTCCACCATTTCAAATAAAGAGCTACAAACTTTAAATGAATTATATGCTTAACCAGAAGGAGAGTGACAGAGCCTAATGATCAGAGAGCAATCCTGTACACACACACACACAGATTATATATCTACATGTCAGGAACTCAGTGGGGATGTGGCGTACAACACTAGAGGCCAACTTCAAGCCCATAGCGCAAGTCACCATCAAGTGTGGGATCTACCAATGAGACGCTCTATCATGTCATCATTTCGTCCTTTATTTTGCTCAGACTTCTAACACACTGGTGTACATGGTTGTGGGTGTTGCACCCAACCTCATGTGGCTCTTACTCTATTCCAATCAAATGACTGGTTCAGTGAAGCACACAGGCCTTTCCCTCTCCTCCTGTCATTTGTTCTTGAATTGTTGACTGGATTCTGGTGGCGGTGCTCTCACTTGGGTATTGTATCACTTCCTTGTTATCACTGTATCATTTATACTCCAGGGTTAAACTGGGCAGAACAGTTCAGGTGTCCATGTTACATTTGTGGTAGTTCAGCATCAAGCTAGTGCTACTGAAGAGAAACAAGCATGAAAAGAGTCAGGGGTTTGTTAAATTTCAAAGCAAAGTTTCACAAAAAGCTCAACAAACATCAGCAAACACACACTGTGTGTTTGCAGACGTGTCCCTCCCTCACTTTTATGCTCATTGTGTCAGATGTTTAGCTACTCCTCGGCCTCATTTACTAATAACAAAAAGTTGAAGCCTATTTGCAGCTCTGGAGGCCAGGATTAGTGACTTGACCCGGCTTAGCACCCTGGAATATCCTGTGGTAGCCAGGCCCATGTAGTCAGTGGGGTCAAAGGTAGCTGTGGCAGGGGTGTGGTCTCTGACCCACTGCAGTGAGCTCTTCGGGCGGTGCCGGGATGACAGAGGGACAGGTGATTACGATGGGACTAATGACTCTCTACCCTTTTATAGTAAATGGCCTGGTAAATGGCCTGTATTTATATAGCGCTTTACTAGTCCCTAAGGACCCCAAAGCGCTTTACATATCCAGTCATCCACCCATTCATGCACACATTCACACACTGGTGATGGCAGCTACATTGTAGCCACAGCCACCCTGGGGCGCACTGACAGAGGAGCCCCAGTGATGCAGAACACTGGTGAGAGAGCAGTGTGCAGTGGAGGAAGCCACAGGGGCTCCACAAATGTGATAATCTGGAAAAAAAGAAGTAAGCCTAAGGGATTAAATGTTCCACTAGAGAAGTCTTGTGCTGCTACGCTCAGCCTTTGACCAAGTGACAGATATTGTCACTTGGTCAAAGGCTGAGTGCACCCTGAAGTCGCGCAGGCACTGTTTTAGGTCGTCTCCCGGGTATCCCGAAAGAAATACTGAGAGCACGTCGTTCATGTCTCACACACTGAAAGAACTGCACGAATAAGTGGGCATTAAAGACTGTAGACTGAAATTATACAATCACAGCTCATATATTTAACAAAACATGCACAGTGAAAAGTGTAGAGTGTGAGTCCCTGGGATTGGGATTACTTCCTTTATTTACGAGCTGTAGTTGAGTACTAACCTTGCTGTGGTCCAGGCTGCTGCTGCTCCACCTCCTGGATAAACAAGTCAAACATCTGCGTCTGAATGAACTTCTTGACAAAGTGTCGAGTGACCTTGGGCTCGATTGCCTTGTAGAAGCTTCTCTTATCAAACACCCCACCTTCTCCAGCTCGTGCGTATTTTACATATGAGGCATAATGGCCAACTGTTTTCACGAAGAATTGCAGGAAGGCTTCAGAAACCACTCGGTTTAGCACCTCCCCCGCTGAAGGAGAGGACAGAAAGCATTTAAGAATGATTGAAGAAACACTGTGCTACATGTGTTCATGTGCTGCTGTTCACCCACCTGATGCATTTTGTCTTGTACTTAGAGCCACTAATATTTCAGCCTGGAGCTTTGGAGGCAGGATAGTGCCTTCATCACCAATCTGCAATTGTGACAGAAGCCCTTTTGTTAGCTACAAATCCTGACCTAAGGACTTTAACATTTTAGGTTTTTCATCATTTGACAACTCTTACTGAAACAATGAATGGGTCCTTTTTATCCTCAGACAAATCAACCACCAGCAGCTGTGTTACACACAAAAAAGGACCAGAGTAAGGACAGCGTGCCAATATTAACACCGTAATATTAACACCATCTTTTTGGTTGTTTTTATGGTCTCCATGTTAACTCACATCAGTCTGGTCAGTGACTTGGTCCAGCAGGCGCTTCTGGACTCCCAGTAGATAGGGGGTAGGTGCCATCACTACATCGATGAGGATTTCTGGAACAATGGAGATGAAGGTATGCTGCCAGGTGAAAGGGTAGAGGAGGGCTGCTACTGCATGAATGACCTGAGACAATGTGCTGCAGACAGACAGAGTCGACATCAGAGGTGGTATCGCGATGGTAACACATGTTTGTGATTAAAAAACAATTTTTCTCTTCTTCTTTTATGGCTTAAGTGCACGTAGCTGCGCCTCACTCAATGTTTTAATATGTTAAGCAGTAATACTGACTGAAAGGTGTAGATACAAACACACACTGCTTCATGTATTTATACGAGTTTTCTTTTCAAACAATAAACATGTATTATTATTTGAAATTTTGTATCCGATGCAACAAGAAGTAAGATGTCAGGGATGGGTTAAAGCTGTGATTGGCTCTGTCCAGTCCCAGTGTTTTCACACAGCAATGCTAGAATTTAATGTAAGAGTGGGATGTAAAGTGGTGCATCAGAGGTGCATAGATACCAGAGACACTAAACTGAGCAGTTGGCAGTGTTTCGTTTTGTGTAATCAAACTGAGCACAGATCAGTTAATTATAAAATCTACAAAGAGCATTCAGTAGTGAACACAAACATAACATTTGTCAACAAGAATCTATCACCCAGAGAGATCTTTGTGTCTGTGGTTAATATCTAAATGTTCGGACTACGGTCGTTTCAGATTTTGGAGAAACTATAAAATTCATTCCTTTGACTTTAGTCTCACATAACATGGCCCAGGATCTTCTTCTGCACATCCTGAACTGTTACTACTATTACACTGTTGGTAAATTACCCACAAATCTTTCTAATCCAGTCGTTTTTGCAGCTGCAGGCCTTACACTGACTTCCCTGTTTATAGAGTGGTACGACCGGGGCTACGCTGTGCAGTAAATGACATAAAAGTATGATTAAAGTATGTGTCTGAGTGTATAGACAATGTGATCTACCCAAGTTCATCTGCGATGAAAATGATCCGTCTCTCCAAGACAGCCGCTGCAAACACCAGCAGCACTTGCTGGTCCGTCAGGCAGCTAAAGAGCGTGGCAAAGTTGACGTGTTCCAGCCAGGAATCCAGCGGCCGGGTCAGACTGATGATCTGGTGGAAAGTCACCACTGTCACAAATATGTCAACAGTGGTGCCAGCATGTCATCACTCAACTGACAGGGCTCTGCTTTTCAGCTCTTTCTTTATATTTATTCTTCTTCCACTTTAAAAAACTGCCCATAAAAATGTCTTTACAAAGCCAGAGAACCATGTTGTCCCCCACCCTGAGGTCTGGTCACAAAAAATGACCACCATCAGTGAATACCTGAGATGACTGTGAGCTGTTGAAACATGGTCTATGACGGGTGTCAGGTTTCTGCTCTGAGACAGAGGCTGGGTAATGCAAAACATGTTCAGACAAGTCCTCAGAAACATGCCAGCCTGAGGGATCTCTTATAGTCCCTGGGTTACTGCTCTGTGTGACCTGCCTAATGTAGTTTTAATACCTTTAACTGCTCAACATATATATTATTTTACAGATAGAGGTGTGTGGTTAGTGGGTTTTTCGGCTCTTTGATGTGTGCCGTTTTGTTGTTGATATTGAGACATCTACTCGACGACTGTAAAAATCTCCTTGATCACTGCAGAGGGCGTTCCTACCAGCATGCATCATTTTAGGCTGTCTGCAGTTTGCTTCCAGACATCGTTTACTGCTGCTTTGTCTCTAAATGCTTACTGCCACACTGACACTTATTTTCAGTGCACAGGGGGCTTACATGACGTGGCTATATTAAAAGCACTTCAGATCACTCATTACAATCAATTTAGCTGTGAACTCTTGTCATTTCTTGACCTCAACATTCACATTTTGGCTACAAAAAGAAAAAAGGAAGGTTTTTTTTCTCAGCACTAATAATGCTACGAATGCTAGGTATGTGGTTAAATTATTTGAAGACGCTGACATTATATGAAATCACTAAAATGTTTGTGAGGTCTGAACTTTTGCCAATTTTAATAACAACGAATGCTACGTTAGTCACATTTGTTGTCTTTGTCCCAAGTTTAACAAGTAACACCTGTTGAAGTTACGGAATTCAGTCCTGAACAGTTTACATGTCTTTAGGCAGTTCCAACAGCATTGCACTGAATATACCTCAAAGCTGAGAGAGAAGCTCTAACAGGGCATGAAAACAAACAGTCCAATGTCAACACATAGGCTTACTTCTTTCTTTCCAGATTATCAAAACCGTTTACATCAGGTGTGGGAAACGAGTCAAACAGCACGTGATGTACGTCATTATGTGACACGACCACAGAGCGACCGGGAGAATATTACACGCGAGTTTTCTGGTGAGTTAATAGCCAAGAAGCTGAAACCTCATAGACTTTTTTTGGTTTTTCCTTTTTGCATCCCTACTTATGTGTCCGTAACAGTATGGCCCTCGGAGAACTATATAAAAATTTAAATGGCCCTTCACATGAAAAAGGTTCCTCAGCCCTGATTTAAACAGATGAAGAACTGAAATGAACCAGAAAACACAGATAACAAACTCACAGACATGACAACCTGAGCTACACACATTTTAAAGGATCGTTGTACTGTGTTTTGAACAAAAAGAGATATTCTGAGTCTAAATTTACTAATGGAGTTAGAAGACGAGATAAATGAGAGTCTTTTCTTAATAGACATCAAAGAGGCGCTCACTCTGACCTCAGTGCCCGACTCAGGAATGAAGCTCTTAATCTCCACTGTGTTCCCTGGTGCTGGGAATTGAGCTTCTCTAAGTTTCTGCATGAATGGATAGATCATGGCCATGGAGATCTGCCGGCGCTTCTCCACCTCGTCGAATATCTGCACACATGGGAGAGAATAGTCACAAACTCAAAGTACGACATATGCTAAAGCAAGATTATTTTATTTTACTTATGTTGTTATTGACTTAAATATCTAATTTCAATTTGTTCCGTTTCATGGACAAGCCGTCTCAAATCCTCACAGTCAGTAACACAATTAGTTAATCATTTAGTTTCTACCTTCACACTTGAACATATGACATACTTCTGCTTTGGCTCTCGGAGGAGGTGGACGCGTCTTTCACCCCCTCCTTCCCTTATTTTCCCTGCTGCTGCCTCTATGTCCTTGTCTGGTCTCGTCTGACTCTAACCCCGAGAGAGCCTCTCATTCTCGCTCTTGTTCTCTAAAAACTAAAGAAGAAGAACTATGGATTTGATCAACTGGTCCCTGAATGCAATTGACACTCTATTCTCGACGAGAAGCCTGGGTTCGGGAGAGCCTGAGTGTCCTGGAGGGACATTCCCTGCAGGATACACGATGGAAATGATCTGGGAGGAGCTCACAGCTCTTAAACGGGAGATACACCTGGAGACCAGTGACGGACACTAAGAACAACTGTCTGTTCGTTCTAAAACAACATATCCATCATCTTTCATGCAGCTACCCTCCTCCCATCCGATGTGGACAGGGGCTCAGCCGGAGGCACGATCGCGAGATTGCAGCGTCCCAGATGCAGCTGTGCACACTGGCATACTCCCCCATGTTGCTTGTCTTGTGTTTTTATGGTGCGGTGATATTTCTGTTTTTCATGTGCTAGAGTTTTTGTCTTCTCCTCATGCCGACTCCTTTGGGGATCAGTATGAGCAGACATTCTTTTTCTCTCCTGATCTGCCCTTTTGTGTTACATATTTTGTTGTTTTTTCCTTTTGCGCCCTATCCTGACCTGTCTCCCCAATGTGAAGTTTGTGTATTGTATGTACGGTCGGTGAGGTCTGTCATCTACTTCCCATTAACACTGTTGGCATCTTCTGTCGTTGATGGAGAATGAAATGTAAAAAAAAAAAAAAGCGAACTTTCCAGTTTAGATGATTTATCAGCAACACCTTCCCAAGATACTGTAACTTGCTACCTTGTATCCTCGCTGTGTTGATACTGGTACACATGAAATCCCATCTCATCCCAACCTTTGTCTTTTATAGGAATGCCATAATTACGAAGCAGGATTTCATCTTCAAATTCAGGGTTCATTCTGGGTTTTTCTGTACCGAACACGTTTCTCTTCTTCCTCACTACCGGGTATATCGCCATGGTAACTCATGCTGCAACCATAACCTATTGCGGAGCAGATTATGTTCCAGATTAGAGGTCAACAGGTATGAAATCACTGACTACTGACCAGTAATTTCTCTGGAAACTAGTATCAGCAATCCTATAAGACAGTACTGTAGTATAATATATAGTATATAGTAGGATAGTAAGAGGGGCTAAAGTCTTTATAGTCTCTTAATATTTTGTTGTTTCCCAGGTGATCTGTAAAAAAATATAAATTCTTAAGCACAACTTTATTGATTTTTTTCCTGCTGGCTACAAACTATTGTTCTATAATAAAAGGACAATAAAGCAATAAAACACAGAACATCAGCTCATCTGATGTTCTGTGATTATAAAACATCTGTTTGTGGATGACCTAATATCACATTTGCATGTTGAATAAGCTGCTTTTAGATTTTTATTTCTACTGCAGCTGCAGCTCAAAGAATACAAACTAAAACGACTGTTTAAAATCAGTTTCAATGAAAAATTTCAGATTCACACATATGTATAAATACAGAGTTGTGATATTGATTAGTCAGCTTTCTTTCTTGGCTTCAAATAGCTAACATTTATTAAAACAGCACCGGCCTTTTTAACCAAAGCATGTTGCTTTCAGACTATGGGTTTAACTTCCTCATGTATTTCCAACAGTATAGTTTTATCTTGCTTCATATAAGCAGTTGCTTTACTGAAAGTAATAATAATAATAATAATAATAATAATAATAATAATAGATTGGATTTATATAGCGCTTTTCAAGGCACTCAAAGTGCTTTACAATTCCACTATTCATTCACTCTCACATTCACACACTGGTGGAGGCAGCTACAGTTGTAGCCACATAAGTACACGTAACTGTGATTGAATTGAACTGAATTTGACCAATTTAATTTATAATCGCACCAAATCACAACAACAGCCACCTCAAGGCCCTAAACCCCAACCCCAACACCACCCCTTTCATGTGAATACACAGGGAAATCCATAATGATAACCAGCATTGTGTGACCGTGTATTCTGACTGCGGATGTTAGGATGATGCCCTGGGTGTGTTTAACCTGCTTACAGGGCTTGGTGCCAACTAAACCAAGTACTATTAACTGCTACCAAAGTAATCTGACTACGCACAACCTCTGCAACAAGTTTCCTAAAATTCAGCCAATTTTTCTTCCAGAGCTGTTGTGCTGAACTCACCTTGGAGAAGAGCCCAAAACAAGCCAGTGTACTAATGATGCAGTAAGCCTCAGGTGGTCGCGCTCCTCTCCCTCCTGGCTGTGGATCAGAGAGTGAAACAAATATCAAACAGCAGTTTCCAAATGAGGACACTCTGCAAAGGACAGCTTCTGAACACTGACCAATAATCTCCTGCAGTATCCATTTCTTCTGCTGCCATCGATCTCAGTCAGAACAAAGGAGAAGGTCTCACTGAAAATGGACAACAACAACTGAAAACAGGGGCTGTAGGCTGGTTTACACAGAACAGAACCCTGAATACTGCTCAAAGGTTAAAGACCACCTGATTGACATGCATTACCTGTGGTACTCTGTCAAAGGAGCCCAGTTGATGCCTTCTGGGAAACAAAAAAGTGTGATTGCCTTCAAAGTCTTCTCCTCCTCCTCCTTCTGAGATCTCGCCATTCCATCTCTCTGCAAGTAAATATAAAAGTTTAAATCACTGTTTCCAAATAGATACATACATCATATGTACAACTGATTATAACTGTACAATTGTACAAAACAAAATTAAAGGAATACTTTTTAATCGAGTATATCATTACGTTAACTGAACCTCTCTGATATAGATTTGGACAGTTAAGTAGCAGAGCAGGTCGTTTCAGCTGCTTTGGTGTTCATTAAATTAATGCAACAATTCCCAGAACAGACATAGTTTTTTTCACTAGTTTTGCATTTAGCCAGGGTCAGTGTTAGCATGTCAGAGAGAATATTATGCTGCCAGTAAAATGACCAAGTGATGGTCTGGCACGCATATTCATGGAGGGACACACAGACCGCCAGAGGCTAGGCAGCGCCACCCCTGACTACTATTAGGTATCAGAATGAAATCCATGGATCCACTGTCAGAACCCTGCTTTGGTGCTCTCCTTAACTAAATCCAAAATAACTCCAGTGAGAGACAAATATATTTTGGTCCTTCTGACAATTCCAAGTTGCACCTGGAGTGAGTGAGTGAGTGAGTGAGTGAGTGAGTGAGTGAGTGAGTGAGTGAGTGAGTGAGTGGCTGGAGCATTGAGACAGAGGCTTTCTTGTAGTCAATGCACATTGTGCACAGGTTGGTCAGTCGGGTCTGACAGTCTTGAATGACTGCTCTATCTACCAGTGGATAGTTTTGCCCCTCTGGTGTTGGTGCCAATTCTTTTCTGGGTCCTTCTCATGTATTGCCATTCCATATACCTGTTCATCTTATCTGCTATAATGGCTGATGTTAGCTTCCATGTTGTGCTGAGACAGATTTTAGCCGGTAGTTGGAAAAGACGGGACCCCTCTGTGGGGATCAGGACTGTCCGGGCTTTCAGTTAGACAGTGGGTTCATGCTCATTTGGGCTGTCAGATGTTCATGGAGTGCAGTTAGTTTTGCCGCATGATGTTAGAGGCAGTGCTGTCCCTTCTCTCAAATCCTTTCTGAGTATCTTCAAAATATACACAGCAATGACATTAGAATGTCATTCGGAGGCCGGGGACTGTGAGTGTCAGCACCACAGTCCAGGATGAGACAACAAACATCCACAAGTACATCAGTAAGATGGCTCCAACTGACCGCGTGCTCAGTGAATACCTCAGGCAGCAGAAACCCAAGAAAGAGGAGGAAGAGGAGGAACCATCATGGAAGGACAGGCCCCTGCACGGTATGTACCAGCGGCAGATAGAGGAAGTGGCTGATATTCAGAAATCCTACCAGTGGCTGGACAAAGCTGGACTGAAAGACAGCACAGAGGCACTAATCATGGCAGCACAAGAACAAGCTCTGAGCACAAGATCCATAGAGGCTGGGGTCTATCACACCAGGCAAGACCCCAGGTGCAGGCTGTGTAAAGATGCCCCAGAGACAATCCAGCACATAACAGCAGGGTGCAAGATGCTAGCAGGCAAGGCATACATGGAACGCCATAACCAAGTGGCCGGCATAGTGTACAGGAACATCTGTGCCGAGTATAACCTGGAAGTCCCGATGTCAAAATGGGAGACGCCCCCATGGGTGGTGGAGAATGACCGAGCTAAGATCCTGTGGGACTTCCAGATACAGACGGACAAAATGGTGGTGGCTAACCAACCGGACATAGTGGTGGACAAGCATATTTGGCCTTCACGATCATACTGACCTTGGGAAACTGGTAGGTAATCTGAGGTTCGTAGGTATTGCTGTCCTTGGCCTTCTTGAGGCTGACCACCACCAGATACTCAAAGAAGTACTGACCACTGGCATAGCGGTGCTGCCTGGTTGTGTTCTCTGCTGCCTCCAGACCAGGTGGCTCTGTAAGCTCAGGCTCTTTGACTCCTATGTGAAGATAAAAAAGAAAACACAAACACATTTAGTGTGCTTGATCATGCATTTCCCAATAGTTCTTATTTGCATGAATACAACACACCAGTTAGAAATTGGAGAAGTTACAACATTAAAGACCATATATGATACACACAAACACACTAATGAGAGATATAAGAGAGAGAAATGCGAAACACCAGCTACTGTTAGACAGAGCAGTTCCTTGAGACTATAAGAGTAGACTGCCAACCCTATTCAACCTATGACTCGATGCCTCACACATGGTACCTGGAATGTCTAAAACTACAGTCTAAAGAGCTTGGAAAAAAAGTGTCTGGACTGACCTGGCTGAGGGGTTCAGGCCTGTACAGAAAAGCAGTGGGGACAGAGCAGCTCCTCCTTACTAAATCCTGCACTTCATGCAGAGTTGTGCTATTGAAGTTGGCCTGTAGTGTTGTTCGCCCCATCCCAGTCTGATGAAAGCTCTTAGATCATGTATAGTTCTAGTCATTCCAGGATTTATGTTTGTGACACAGAGTCATAAGCTTTCTTGTAGTTAATCTAGGTTGTGCACAGTTGGTCAGTCTGGTCTAAAAGTCTAAAGTGACTTTTCTATCTACCAGAAGTAGTTGATAAGTAAAATGCTTGACCTTGTCGTCAGCAGTCAGTTATATCAGTGGATACTGGATTTTCTCAGTGACAGTCCACAGATGGCAAGACTTGTGCCCCACACCCCACTGGTGGTACTCATCTCAAATAGGAATTAAAGGTGAGGTGCACAGTCTGAGGGGTGCTCCCATAACAACTTCTCCCTAAATCATCATTGCTTTGAAGTAGCAGAGATGGAGCATTGTGAAGGACATCACACTGTCACAATCTTTTCACCCAGCTCCCCTCTGACAAACAGTATAGCTTAGCAAATCCACGAACTGCCAGGTTCATGAGGAACAGTTTTTATCCAACAGCCATCACTAAACTGAACTCTGCCCATCACCCTGTGACACCAAAAACAACTCTCTCCATCAGTATAGATTTTTTAGACATTGTGATTCTGTTGTATGCAACACATACA